TTCATTAAATTTCCGGCTCCAATAAGGCTTGGATCAGCGAACATTATTGGTGCTTCAGTGACATAGTTAGCAACGCAGGTGAGAACCGCGGCGATACCAACCAGACTGCAACGTCAAAGGCCACCATAAGTAAAGCTCTTAATACCGTTAAGCAATTACAAATGCTATTGATGCCAAACCTATGGAAGAGGGCAACCATTTGGGGCAGACTTGTGACCTCCATGCGAGAGGCCGCATAACCACCAACAGATCCACCAACCAGAAGGCAACCAAGCATTTGCGCCAAAAGATCAGGATGGGGCTGTAGCATTCCAAGGGTGACGGCCAATCCTGCAGAAACACCGGTCAGACCCAGAACGTTGCCTAAATGAATGCATCCATTAGGATTTAAGATGATGTTGATGGAGGTTGAGGGATCTCAGTACAAAATTTGTACACTTACCCAAACGACTGGTTTTCTGACTGGCTAGAGCAGTGATAGCAGCGATGCAGCAAAGTGATGAGGCGAGGTAGGCAGCCTGATTAGCATCCTCTAGACCCATTGAAGGTCCAAAATGCAGCAAACTGTAACCGTAGGTGCCAAGTAACGCCAAAGCTGGGATTCCGAACAGGTAGTTGTGCTCCGGTGCGTCAGCTGAAAGAATTTAGCAGTTCTTAGTAGTCTCGTTGGCCATATGCATTCCAAAGCTTTAAAGCTTATAAATCTATGGCATCTTGATAATTATTATTCTTCTCTGTGCACTGAGAGAATTCATTTCCCATGTTGCTTGCAACATTTAAGAAGACTCATGGTAGTAGTTTAGGTTAAGGAGAACTAACTGGGCCTTTTGAACATATTGAGCATTCTTTGGGTAACAAGGAAGCCACCACCAATGTTGACAGCCGAGACGAGAGTGGCGAGTGCTGCCATGCTCTGGGGCACGGTGCTGGGCACCAGTCCACCACCCATCAGAACGAGTCCACCCACAGCAGTGATACCTGAGATTGCGTTGGTTACAGACATCAGTGGCGAATGGAGTGCCGGAGTCACTCCCCACACCGTGTGGTATCCTAATTAGGAATGGCAGAAAAAAATGTCATCGATGTCAACTACTACCCGTACTTAAGTACACACACACACACACGTACACACAGGCTCTACAAAAGTGGATAGAAAAGGTGCTCACGAGTGTCCTCGATTTCAACTTCACTTGATACTAGGCAAGCTTCTTGACCCGTACTCTGACTGTACGTAGTAATATCAAAGTCCTCCAAGATATTTCTGTTTGCCTTCGAAATGGGAGTGACTTCACTTCACATTGAGCGGATATTGTGCCACAAAACCTTTAAGAATAGCATCGCAGGAAATTAAGGGAAGACCATCAAGAAAGTGGCAAATTTACATGGTTCTAAAATGTACTTGTAGGAGAAGATATTTATGGAAAGTAGCCACCACCTCATGCTGCGATGAACTTAAAGCAGTCCACACAATTCACTTGCAGAGAGCTGAAGTGGTGTTGAAATAGAGAGGCGAAAACTCGAACACACATTTGTTTCAGTTGTATCACTTAATGTATTTTAGGTGCAGTTCCAAGATGGATGATCGTGAGTAAAACTGTTCCTTTTTTGTGGAGCATCAGCCACCCACACTACGGGTAAAGACAATTGTGATTTTTAGACTTCTCGTCCAAGTCTACGATGGTAAAATATGGAGCGTTGCGGCTACGACATCGATCCATCATGTCATCTCGACTCCTGCCCTGCGGCTGGCCGCAACGTAGTGGATGATCTGTAAGAGTTGCAACAGACAGGCGTCGAGAATGCGGATCATAACACAAAGAGTGATTTGCAGCGGAATGCAGTTAATCGGTTGCATATTTAAGTTGGTGATCTTTCTAGCCACCCTTGATTTGATCAACGTGATCACTTCCGGTCTTCCTTGCTATTTGTGTATGTCAAGCCGCAGTTCTTAAACGCTGTACCACTTGCGGTAGCGAAAGTAGTGCATTGTTGTCGCGATCTTCTGCTTGTTTCAAAATTTGGGTGGACGCACCTACAATGCCTGCAAGGGTGAAGGTGGAGAGCGTTTGCATGAATGCTGGCGAAGGGGACGCTAGGCCAAGACCCACAAGCCCTGACAGACCGACACTGGTAGCGAGTGCTGCTTTGAGTTTAGCAACACGAGGATCCACTGGTACCACAGCAACCGCCTCAGTCTTGGGCTTCTCCGCTGGTGGAGGTGGTGATGTCGCCACGGGAGGTGGTGGTGGCCACATCAGTTCGCCCTTGAGATAAAGACATTCAATAGTCGTAATAGTGAGGAAGGAACTAGGCGTACAGGTGACAACAAAATGTCGTCCCCAGAAGACTAAATCAATCGCCGCATTTGCCTACATCTAAGACTCCATTTTTCCTGTCTCAATTCAAAGCCAAAGATTCGAACAGTAAAGTAAATGAAGGAAACCTTTTATCTGCAAAAAACTGTTTTTTCTTTATTGTGGAGTTTTGAAACACTAAAAGGTAGCAAATATATTAACACTATCCCTCACTGTTTTAGCCCACTTACTTTTCGATTCAAAGCTCCTCTTTAATATTCAAATCAATGGTTGGAGCCATTATGTCCAACTTGTAATGAAGAGTAACTGTAAGCATCTGATTAGCAGTTTCTAGGGTAGATAGGCCTCAAATACAAGGAACGAGAATGTACAAAAATATGACCACAGAATTCTAATGAATTTGCTAAGGGGTGCACAAAAAAT